ACTTATATTTACATTAATAAAATAACTATGACTGGGAATACTCGATTACAATTTTCCTCAAGATAAACAAACTGGTCCTATCCAATTATGAAATGAAATTAATGAATCTGATATTTTTATTATTTTACCAAAAATGACGTCTGTACTCTACTTAGGAATAAATATTTATCCATTAGTTATATCTTGACTTGAGTAGTTTGTAATTATAATGATTAAAAGATTCAAGAGATTGCTAAGTATGTTTTCCTTCATCCGCATTAGAATAAGATAAAAAACAAACGGAAGTCAAAATAAAATGGACGATCGTAAGTTTAAACGAATTTTGAATGATGAAAGTGGTTGGCAGGAAATCTTTGAAATAAATTTAGTCTACGTGAAACTTCTCGAAAATACTGTGCAATATTGATTAATTACTATTTTATACGAAGGGTTTATTTTTTAATCAGACATTTCCTGCACAATACTATGAAAGAATATTCTTTTGATCGTATTTATAAGAGAAATCCTTTTAGTCTGAAGGTAAAAGAAAGGAAATACGAAGCCTGAGTAACAATTCTTTGGTTTATTTATTTGTTTTGAGATTATGGGAATGTTTCGTAACTTAAGCAGACAATTCTTATGAAGTTTCGTTCTCTGATATTAATGGTTTAATCGTGGAGTTTTCACTGTTCTTCTGAACAAACTCATCAGAAAAATTTCAGGTAGGAGTGAAGTATTCAAATTACTCTCTACATGACTGATAGATTGTCTTATCGACCTTGACTTCGGTTGGTTGCTGTTAACCTTTAACCCGTTGTTGTCTCCATTATTTATTTTGATTGTCTCGCCCGCTGACCTGATTCATGATCCTAAATTTTATGATGAGAATGAACTAGAACGTTCTGGATTATTATCAATAGTTGGATTAATTTTTTAACAATTCTCTAAGAGATTAAAAACAATTATCAAAAGACATTAAACATATGGTCTCATTGTGAAAGATATTTAGATATATCGGTTGTTGGGATCTTACCATTGGTGTTTAGGACTGCAATTAATCAGTCTCTTTTCGCATATGTGGATCCTATGCGGATTATCTTGATATTGCCACTAAGTCACATGCAATTTAGGCAGAGATAGTTGGTAGCTGTCGGTAGAACCCAGGATACCTCACTGCACAAACCAGTGGCTATCTGGACTCAGTGGCTAAGTGGATAACGAGATGGAGTTTGATGTGAACGGTACTGGGTTCAGGTCCCGGAGTGGAAATCAATTCTGGGATGCAGGTACATCAATTGACGAGTCTCAAATAAGACTAAACGTGAATCCTGGACTCCACTGTTAGTCACCATCCAAATCTACTTGGAATTTTAAAAATTTTTACTTAAAATAAAAAGCTTACAGTGTCTTAATTCATCACTGAACATTTTTCACATAAAAAACCTCATTAAGTTTCTTAGATTATTGCTATACAGTAAAAGAGATAACTCTCTTAGTTCTGGAAAAATAACAAGTTGCTCGAGATTTTAGGGCAAGGCGACAGTAAAGAAAAAAGCAAAGAATTATCTAAAGTAATCAAGAAACTATGAATTAATTCGACGGTCACAGTAAAAAAGGTGATTGCACAAATGTTTTACACATATATAGTATCAGCATGTTCAAGTCGATTGTACTGGTGATGCTGTATGTACAAAGGTAAATTCCCAACAGATACAGTAGACTTAATGAGTTAAGCAAAATCAACGTATGACTTGCTTTAAAGTTTATAAGAGGAAACAATCTTGAATACAGTAAAAATTTCAACATGAGAGATGTAATTTCAAAAGGACAAACGAAATTATAGAATACAACCCGCGTAACCAAAATTTAGAAAAGTGTAGAGAATGAATGTGACATCATTACGGCTTATCGCAATTGTCAGTAATGGATCTCATATCCAGACCTCCCAATTCCTAGTTTTCCCCCAATCTACTCCTGTGTCAACTAGTGTCAGAGCTGGTGGTGGTTAGGTATGTGAAAAATACTCTAAAACTACCAGGTTGAGTGAAATAAGGTAAATTCTTTCAAACATTTTATCAACATTAATCATAATCCCAGTGCCAAACAAATAAGAAAGGAAAGAGCTGTTTACACTCCGTCTTCTCCTTACTTAAGAGCTTGAGGGACAATTCAAATCCAGACTTGTCGAACGTTATGTATGAAATGATAAATCACATATGCCCCAAGTACACAAACCTTACAAATTAAAAAAGACTGACGCTGATAGACCTTTACATACAAAAACATTTTGGTTACTTTTAATAGGTTAGTTTACTTGTGGTTTCTCCAAAACGTAATTTACGTCAGACAGTTGAATTCCCCTTTGTGGTGCAACCCAGTGCAATAAAAATAATGATACTCAAATAACCAAAACATTTTATATTGGTTCCCATACAACTTTACGACCAGAACAGAAAACCTAAAACTGATTAGTATTCATTTTACAGCTTTGGTGTGTAGTTTGTATACATGGCTTACTAAATAAGTAATAACGGAATAAGACGTAGATTATTATGCATGGATAGCAAATTGACTGATACTGTTGTTGGCCGTTACTAAATGAGGTAGCTGGAGTCATGGAGTGGACGTCCCCAGTAATTCTCCCCCTGAACATTACATCAGTTATCAAAGGAGTTGATTCAAAAAACTAAGGTGTGACCAGACTTGAACATGAAGCGTGATAAACTGGATCGAAGCACAATGGTCAGAGTCTATAAGATTTATGCTTCCCTGCCTGTCAAACTATGAGCATAACAAACTGTGATGATAGTTGCATTTCAAAGCAATATGTAATTATACAGACCTGATAAAAAGAACATAATTGTTGTGACAACTAACTACGATCTCTAGCAAGAAAAGGAGTAGAAACTTAGTAAAACGTTAGTAAACATTATTGAATCTTGATAATTATAGTGATTATTTGAAATTCGACAATTCTAAACTCAAACAATTCAAACAAACTTCAAGCCTAGCAATGGACATAATAGTCAAATATTCACCGTTTGTTGAGAACACCTAATAAAATAACATTCAACTCATATCCTTATATTTAATTCTATTGAACTACTAGTACTGTATCATTTCATCATTCAAAACTGTCGAATAAATACATCCATTTTCAAATAGATCATAGCTCAAACGTTCTTGGTTGGACAACAGCTTATGGTACACTACTATCAGAAATAGGTACATAGAATAATTTCGGTCAGAGAAGTTCAGCTACGTTTTACTGAATTATTCAACGGAGATTAAAAATGTCTAACTGAAGGGTTTTATCGTTTACTAAGAGAATATATCATTGATTCAGTATCCAGATGAAATAGTTGCTTCATAAAGACATTGGTATAACTTAATCTTTGAAACAAATTGAACAATAATTACAGTGTAATAACCCGAAATTGACATACACCTGTCAGACCCTTATTCGTTTACAATCATCTATATATGATTGATATGATGAGCATCTGTTGCTCAACGAAGATAACCTTTGATTCACCGGAGTTTAGACCTATCAGTACAGTGACTTAAAAAATTTTGAGCCAACACAACGATCATACAAAATGTTAGAGTTATCTGGTTTAATAACGACTGCTCTAAATGGTGAGTTTATGGTAGGATTTGAGTTATATGTTTCATTTACACCTGTCTAAATTGGCAATTTCATTCGTTTTCAAGTTTATTAATTCAGTTGCTATTACGTACCCATTTCGCGATTATATTAAAATATTCTCTGAAGTTAGAATGCTTTATTTATCCAATAACTGTTTTAGCTTTTGACTAGATAGCCCACTTGTTCATTAACTAATAAAATAGATAGTATGAAACAAAACCCTAGCAAAATGAAATAGATACGACCATAATTCGTGAATAAACCATAGTTAATAAATTATACGCGGTAAATGCCGTAACATGCCTCCTAAATGAACTCCAAGTTAAATCGAAAATACTGATTAAGAAAAAATGAAAACGAATCTCTTTAGAGATCTAAACAGTCGTCATCTATATTACTCTGTGGTACCCAGTTTTCCAGTAATCAAAAAATTAGACGTATATCTTAATAACTAGGGTAGAATAAGACTAGACGATCACCACATATCTCCTGAATGTCAAAAAGCTGTTTGTTTTTTATACAAAACTAGTAACACCTTCGTTGAACTAAATACAATTTAATATTTTTATATTGAAATATGAATATATGATTATATACTCATCTTCTGTAGGGAAGGCGTGTGATAGTAATGTTGGTAATACTATAATATTAAAAGTCAGTAATCCGATGAGAATATTATCATATTTTGCAAAAAAAAGTTAATCAAATCTAATTATTCATTGATATCGGAAAAAACTGATGTTAAAAAGTAGGCAGTCATAAAAGAGCCATTAAATTCATATCCATATATGGATATTATAATCTTTTAAAATAATACATAGTCAATACATGTGTATGTATAAAAAAAATTTCAAGTGAATGGGGAAAGAAAAGAGAAATATGTATGATCCGTTTATGGAGAAAAACAAACTGTGTAAATGTGTTGAAAAATTACTACATACACAAAAAAAGGAAAACAATCATTAAAATTCTTCATAATTATTACCACTTTAACTTAACATGTTTTAATAAATCCAACATAGAAACAAAGTTATAGCAACATTGACTTATTGTCTATCCAAATATGAAAGGTTTGTTGAGCAATTTCAAGGAGAAAGATGATAGAAATAATATTTTTTTAAAAGGAGAAACTGTCAGCTAAATTTCACAAATGCCTCGATTTACATAATTATTTATAGGTATATAATACTTATGTATACAAAAATTTTAAATAATACACTAAAAATAAACAAATAACAAATGTATTCATTGTTCAAGCGTTGCCTAAACTAGACTTGATTAATGAGAATAGTTTATTCTTTATACACAACTACATATTTGTAGATTATTATTATTATTATTATTATTATTATTATTATTATTATTATTATTATTATTATTATTATTATTATTATGAATATATGCGGATGTATACAAATGTAGGAATTGGCTGCAGTTGAAAGAATTTTGAGCAGACTGATCAAAAAAAATTAGAATAAACAAAGGGAACTGTTCACATCTGGTTTTTGTTTTACTGAGATCAAAGTGACATAATAAAACATCAACGCAAAATATCTCATACATTTACACATTTATTGGTATGTAGAAAAAAATGTTAATTACATCAACTACCAGAAGTTTTTGAAAGATTAATGTGTACGTCATTATTGGGTAAATTATCCTGTTCATTTTTAGATGTGTTAGAAGTGTTGTTTTGTGGTAAATTGAATGAATTCTGTGATGCAGAATTGAAATTTGATGAGATGAATTGTATTTCTGTGACATTAGATGCTGGACAACAAGTATCTGATTGACAATTCTTGTTTGGACCACAATCCAACATACATGTGCGATAATCTGTATTTGCCATTGATCCTTCAATGTTCTGTAGAAAAAAATCAGAATAAAGTATCATTTATTGATCAAAATTTTAGACCATCCATAAACTTTTAGTGACAAATAGTTTTCCTAACGGCACGAATAAAATTACACATGCATTTCAACAGTGTATTACGACAGTACAAAATGTGTAAGCTTCGTTTCTACTGAGAGCAGGTAAACAGTGATGATAAACCTTAGTTGAACCATTGACAATTGTTATATTGAGTGGAAAAAAACTTACGATCATAGTAAGGCAAACAGTCATACCCAAGAACCGGATCAAACCATAAACGAATACCCTATATTGCCATCATTTATGTAAGTGATATAACAAGTAAAAATTCAGTTTCATAGTTAAGTTGGGTATGATCGCTAAAAAATGTGCCTTACAACTGCCCATGTTTTGAAATACATGTAATTATATTTAGAGTTAGTATTATGTAAGTTTGCTGGAATCGAAATCCACTCTACTGACCAATTGTTTTATCTTTTTGTATCAGTTTATTGGGTCAACAGTCTGATCATGTGAGCAGTTATCAGTCGGGTACAATGTATCTTTGTGCAGTATTTACCGATCGATATTCCATGAGAAATTTTTACGAACGAAAGATGAGTACTTATAATTGACATTTGACTTTTATCACTTCTATGATTTCAACTAAAACGATTTTTATGGGTTTTTATTAATAAAATGAATAAAACAAGTTTAGGAAGTAAAATCCACAGTAATAATGAGCTACAAGAATATTAAAAAATATAACCAACAAAAACATGTTATTTCGTTGTCAGATAGAAATTTGTAAAACCAGTCAGTTTTTTAACATTTATATGAACTTTATAACAGCTACTTGCCTTGAAAAAGCATGACAAAACAAGTCACATGTATTAAGAAAAATTTAGAAAATTACCTCTTCAAATTCCGGTTGTATTGTTGTACAGTGTATATTGAATTCGTGGAATAGTTGTTTCACTTCACGAGCAATACTTAAATAGTCCGCTTTATTAAACAAATATAATAATTAGGAGTAAAAAACGAATAATATAGATTCGTACTGAAGTGTTTGATTATATATATATATATATATATATATATATATATATATATACGAGTGAATTATTATTATAATTTATTATTTCATCTTAAAACCTCCTTGTGAATCTTAAAAAACAAAAAAAAACTTCATTCAAGATATTTTGAAGAGATAAAACATTTCTGGTTACACCTATTGAATTAATCTGCTTGCACTAATAAACAGAATAAGTTATTGTGTACCAAAATACTAATAATATACATAATCAAAATATTTATTCTTAAGTATCTAATCAATTTTAAAATAATGCTTTTTTATTGAATAGTTGGAAAGTGAATACTCTTTGAAATGAATGAAAATAAATGTATTTTGTTGAGAATGATGATATTAAACTAAACGGCAAAAAAATGATAGTATTTGTAAGAATATGAAAAAAACGCTATTACAAATAGTGTATTTTAAATTAACATGGTAGGGAAATGTTATATTGAGTAAACGGAATACACGCATTAAGACATTAAATAAGAAAGATTCGTTTAGCGAAGAGTTCTCTTTTTAGCGAATTCATTGAAAATGAAAAGAGAACTCTCTGCCGAACTAATCTTTCTTAATTTCAGTGGTTACGATCATGAGTCACTTGAAGCTAGACCACCATGGAAAACCTGAAAGCACTGGACGGTCGTTTCGTCCTATCAGGGACTCCTCAGCAGTGCACATCCACGATCTCGCCCCCCGCGAGATTCGAACACAGGACCTATCAGTCTCACGCGCAAGCGCTTAACCACTAGTTAAATGTCGTATTAACTTATTACATTACAATTAAATAATGAACACTAGTATTTAAACTAAAATTATGTATTTAAGGAATGTTAGTTATTTAAAAACGCAAAGATTTATTTTATTTGATATGTGATTACATAATACTATATCATAGCTTTTATTTTAACGATTTAACTTTATATTATTTTCCTTTTCGAAATCGACGAATCTTTGAATTTTTAAAATGTTTACGTTAATCTAGATGTTTACTTTTTGTATTAACATAACATCCATGTTTTTGTCTGCTGACTGACATACTTCACTTTTCATAACATTAATCTTAATATTTCCCGACAAATATTGATAATATTACGAGTTTATGTTTCCAAACAGACGATAAATAACACCATATTTGACTAGTCTTTATTGGCATGTAAACTCTTTCAGAGAATGCCTTGAAGTTAGACGTAGCTAAAAATTGGTTATATTTTGGATAGCGAGTAGCAATGCAATCTACATCATACTCATCAAGAAAGTTGACTGCTGAATTGACTTAATAGCCTAGTTGGTAAAACCTTGGCTACTGGATTCGAGTGTCGATGTGAAAAACAAAACCAGATGATGAGGGCCAAACACAACAAAATCCGAGCGTTAAATCTCACTGCTAGTCACAATCCAAAAGGCCTATGGAAATCTTTTTTCATAAGTAATCTTACTACCTTTTATTGAGTGAGTATTTTCTTGTCAAACTAATTATAATGTCTGGACATATTTTGGATGAACAGATAATAACAATTACTAAAAAGTAAATAATTAAATTTATGACCCTCCAACTAACTGCTAAACATGATCAATTCAGATGACGTTATTATATTCGCAGTTTCATTTGCCTATATTAGCATATTTCTATATTTTTGTTCAACCATAATCTCAAAAAGAATTGGTTACCATAGAACGAAAGTCAATGATGAAGCCAGAAAAAGTGATTACCTGCATGCGAACCCGATTTATTGTCGTATAATTGCTGAGAATGTCAATCAAACTAAGTCTTCGACAGGATGATTGTTGATAGATAGTATGTTTACAGTATTAATAACAATAATAATAATATTAATCAAATTTGTGATTTTCACTAGACTTCATTAATGAGATAAAAAACAACTTGGATTAATCAAATTTAAGCTAAGCAAACACTAATATTAGATGAATTTCTCAATTCACTAGTACAATACTGGCATGCAAAGAGAATGAAATAAGCACTTTTTGACTGTATAGACAAAATACACAGTGTCTTTAGAATAGATAATCTATGACTCTTATGTATTATACACACACAAAGCTCATATCTGAAAACAGTTTCTGTCCTATCGTATATATATTAAACCAAATAAGCATATCTACACTGAAAAAAAGGAAAATCATAATGACATAAGTCGACACATTTTGCAAAAGTACAAGGGAAAACCAACAAAAATAGAAATATATTTAGAAATAGATCACCGTGATGAGTCTTTAAATGATAAATAAAACCAAGAAATTTAAGTCTGAATGTATGGCAAACAACTAATGGTACCAACCACTAAGACTAGATTTTAACGACGGAACAACAGGTATAACGAATATTAAGTGAAAAGTGCATTCAGCACTGGTACTGTGGAGTTCGAAAGATGAGAAATCCAATCACTGCTATATGATTTTCAAATAATCATTTTCATTGTATAGGCGCCACTGCTCCTATCTATATTAAAAATAAAGTTTTTTTGGAAATCCCACAAAACTTTCCTTTCTTACAATAACATGTTTTCTAAACATATAATGAACCAGTCAAATAAAAAAAATAATTAGACTCGTGCCACACCAAACAGTTGCCAACTATAGGTATTAACGTATATGATTGATTTCTATTTTCGAAATGACCCAATCAAAATTGTTGGATCCTAGAGAGAGGTATTGTCGTTGACTTTATCCGGAAGTGACGGTAGTAAGATGTTTTCCTTAAAAACCATCATCTACAGTGATGTTGCTTTTTTGCAACGGAAGGATAGAGATTACAAAATGTAGACCATCAAAATAGTACATCTCCCCTTACCTTACAAATTTCCATCATTGGCGGTAATGCCTTTTGAAGTACGGAACTAGCATGCCAAAAACTACCTATAGAAAGACAATCTGTGACCAACCGCAAGCATTTGTTTCTTGAGCTTTTTGGTCACACATCCAGGCCCTCGAAACTACCCCTACACCACTTTTATTGTCAGGTACATCAAGAAAAATTATCCTTCCTCGATGTTGACAGCGGGAAGTGACAACAGCCTTTAAAATTCCAACATCGTTTCAGATCACCTTGTCCAAAATCAAACTTTATTTTTGTGTAGTTTTAGTTAACGTACACGTTTGCAAGCGATAATTGTTGAGTCTAATCATGTGTAAAAAGCTTAAGAATAGCTGGATTAAAAAGTGCTATTAGGTCATAAATTCATTGCTTATTCATCATCAAGTGAAAAAAATTTCCGAGTTTTAGTTTTATCAATATCATCCAAAAACTAAATTACACAATTGTTTCTTAACAATAAAATTATAAATTGAAGAACAAATAATTCTCTCAGTCAGTCAGTCAGTAACAACGTAGAACTTCGTACGTACATACATCAGTTCGAGTTGCCACACCACATTAGCACAGAGATGCAGTGCTCGATTCAAATCCCGTAGTAGTAGAGGTAATAAGAGTATAAGCAGTAATCAAGAAAATTAGGGTTTGGAGATGTTATTGAAAGAGTATAATACAGTGAAATAAATTTGGGAAGAGAAAAAAGAGACAAGGGGGAATAAGGAGATCAAAATTTGGGAGAACACAAAGAGTGTATGCACCTGTGCCATCGCAAACGATTTTGAGCCATGTCATTCAAGGTCTCTAACCATCGGTTGCTATCATCTCGCGGTCCCCAACCAGGTAGTCTACACATACCGACATGACTCAGACCACTTGTCAGGGACTTCATGGACTTGTGCCATGTTTTGGTCTGGCCGCCCCTAGCTTTCTTCCAACCTACTCCACTCATATACCACTGAACATCGCACGTCGAGGCAGTCGGTCGTTGGGCATACGTAACACGTGTCCCAGCCATCTCAACTGATGAAGTTTCACTACGTCATCAATTGATTTGCCATCCTTACCTAGTACCCGTTTCCTAACAACTGCGTTACTTACTCGATGGTCCCACGATATACGAGCAATATTTCGAAGACACCTATGATCAAATACTAGTAACCTACGAATATCCTCTACTCTTACCGGCCATGTTTCACTGCCATAAATTAGGACGGAACGAACTGCTGCACAGTAAACACGTCCTTTGGTTGATAGACGGATATCTCGCCTACGCCATAAATGACGCAAGTTGGTAAAAGCTAATCGAGCCTTCTGTATCAAACAACTGACATGTAGAAAACGTTTAGATTAAAATTATTAGGTTGAAATTTATTGGATCGTAACGAGTTGAATTAAATAATCCAGACGTTGCATAAGCCAGTCACCCCCACCACTACTTGAAAAAGGAATAAAAACTGTGACCACTAGACCAAAGTCAAAAATAGTTAAAAAGAATAAAATGGTCACAAGTAATAAGGATTCATCTAATGTTTTAGATGAACAACAAGATACATCTTATTTCACTCTATTGATATTTTTATAAACGTCAAAAAAGTACAACATAAAAAAGCGCATGCAGTGAGCAACATATTAACACTTATTACTAATTAAATTAAATCAAGTCATTAGATTAAAAGGAGACGTGAGAAATCGAAAAGAAGCAGAATGCTACAACAGCAGGCTGATTGTTTACTAGTAGTAATAGTAAGATTAGCATCAATTATCCTTACTTACTCATTGTTTCTATCTAACCGAATAGATTTTATATACACAGATTAAGAAAAAACAAAGTAGGGACAAATACTCTATTAGCAGACAAATAAACAATGTAAAAAGGATTATGATTGTCATTTTCATAATAAAACCTAAGCTCCTTACTATAAATCTAAATAACGTTTACCAAGAACCAAGATTGACAGATAATAATAACTTAGTTATATGTTAAGAGATACGCACTGTAAAAGTAGTGAACTACTTCTAACCAGACTATGAGATCAAAAAAGTATAGACTATTTAAGCTTGATACATAAATAACATTTATGTAGTTCTTATCATTAGACAATAAATCCGGTCCATAATTCCACATTTAACCAACGATCAACTACAGTACTGTTTGTTCACATTTTTATTATTTCCTTCATTAACATTATAACTTGGGCTAAATCATACACTATTCGAGAACTCCGCTAATTACATCTTCTGGTCAATCAAATATACAAAGCGACAAACATGTCTGAATGTCTTAATACTACACGGGCGTTCTATAGACAAATTTACACAATCCAACTCAGAAATAGATCTACGAACTTTCTCCGTACTATTTTACACTATATATATAGCAGTGTCAGTAATGATAAAGACTACAAATTAATATCGACGGTTGAGAAACAAGTGTACCTACAAGATCATGTATATTAGAGCAAACCTGTAGGACGTAGATTTCCAGCCACTTAACTAGCATCTGCAGAGAACGAAAACGAATTAAAGCAATAAAAATTTCAATTTCTTATTATCATCTCTCAGTTAACCAAATTAAACTTTCTACAAAAACAAACATTATTAGTTAAACAAAGTTATAATTAAAGTATCGGTTTCCAAATTAGCAGTTTGAATTGTCAACAATGTAAAAAGTTTTAATCAAACGTAATTAGAAACATAAAATGCAGCAAACGGAAAAAAACTTTAGAAGCATACATATAAACTTACGTAAGCTAACGCAACGAATGTGAACAGTACCAATAATACAATTGCTTTGTAAACGCCATACATGCAGATCATGAATTTTATGAATTCCATCAATCTGAATTTCGAAGTAGCAAACAAAAGTAGTTGTTATGTTCAAAATACTAAAAATATCAACCAGTTTCGAAAAACAAACACGTACTACGATAGAAGTGTGAAATCATCTCCATTATGTATAAGTAACCATGTAAATTGTGACAGTAAATGCATGAAACCGGTAGATAAGATAAGGTAGATGACTTGTAAAAAAGTATGAAGGTTCAAGCTATCACACTTCAATCAGTAGAAACAGGAAAGAGGAGTGTGTAAAAAATATACATTGATTTAGCTAATTAATTTTCTTAAACTCTGAAATCAACTTGCACACGTTTACACGCTAATGTGAAAGTCCTTGGATGGAGTGAATCTTTCCCGCAAAATATGGGACTCTTTATGTGCCACTTATAAAGGTAAAGAATTTCAAGTACGTCAAATTAGGTATTTCAAATGTAAAAACTACATTACACCCAAGGAACATACAATAAACAGGTTTTTTTACATTTTTGAGGTTCAAAACAAGACTATAACACTAAAAGGGTGGCTAATTAATTGATTCTTAAACTAAATAAAAGAAATATTATAAAACTATATTCATGATAATCTGAACTCCGAATAAGGATATGTTTTGTTAAGAACGCTTAAGAATAAACGTAGGACAGTACAAACGAACGTCTCCCACAGTTAACATGTATAACACTAGCACAATGAGATGAAATTAACAAAACGAAGTTCAGATGATAGCAAAAAAATAAACATTGAAAATATAGTACCAAAGAAATGAAAAGCATAAAGTAGTATTAAAATACAAAACTGACGGCAAAATGGAGTGAGTACTGAATAACCGAGTATTAGATATGTCACCTAAGGTCTTCAATCATAGATGCCCATCTAGTGATCGCTATCAGTCACATATAGGTACTGTATAATACTGTCTTTTATAAGTGAACTTTTATGGGAATACCACAAAAATAACAGTCTCCCAAATCAAAACGAACTTTACATCAGCATGTGTAAGATACCAGTTTCAGAAACTCATAAACATTCGAAAATTCTACATCTGACAACAATAATAGTAACCATATGAGATGAATAGTCATAAAGTTACGGGTTCCACCCATTCCCGTTTTATACGTACCGGAAATTTAGATTATAGAAAATTAAAATAACTCAGTAAATTGTAAGCTAGATCGATTTCCGTATAGTGTTGTGAAAAAATTATTCAATTTTAACAGGCTCAATCAGTAAAAGATAATATTGGTAAGATTAGATTACACTATATATCCAAAATAACATCAAGTCAGTGTATAATCGACAAATTAACTTACATTTTCCATACGAGTCTTAAGATTTGTTAAACAAATCTCACTAGGAACAGATTGTAGTAAAATTAATGTAGCTTTATACACTAGTTGAAAAGAAAACGAATTCAAAGTAGAAAAGCAAGTTAATTTACCAGGTAAATCGTGAAATGATTGATTTCAAATTCATAGAAAAAAGATTGCTGAAACTGACGGTAAAACAAAATTTAGGTGATATCGTAATCTCTTCAAACGTGACAGATTCATATTAAAATAAATTAATCAAATAATTTTCTGATTTTAAATAAAGCCAGAACAAATATTGATGCAGAATAATATGAATTCGTGGTTTCTCATTAGCTGTTTACAACCAAATATGTATTAGAATTTTACATTGAGGTAAGAAATATCAATTGTTCCAGACTATTTCTTAACTCGATGTAAAATTCTAATACATATTTGGTTGTAAACAGCTAATGAGAAACCACGAAATATAATGAATTCATATCATTCTGCATCAATGTTTGTTCTGGCTTTATTTAAATTCACTAAGGGAACCAATTGTATGAAATTTTCTTATTATTGTCTTTTGTTGATCTGCCGTGTTACGGAGAACTGTGGTAACTAGGACTACTATAAAACACCATTCGTGCGAGAATTTCACAACTTTGGAATCATGCGTATTTATTAAGAGAAGTGGAAGTATAGAATAAAGTCGTGACAGTTTATGCGATGTGGATATATATATATATATATATATATATATATATATATATATATATTTCTTGATTAGTGTTACTTAATTGTACAAACCTAGATAAGGGCAATTGGAATCGAATCAATTACCCAACAGCAGAGAGAATAGCGAATTAGACCAATCAAATACACCTGTAGTAGATTACGTGATGCTCTCAGGGATGCTAGAGATCAGCATAGGATAGATAAAAATGACCTAATTAATTAATATTTAATGAACTGATCGAGTTTTATGCTCAGGTTACGAAAGTTATAGTACAATTCAGTTGTTTACGTCAAATATTTCGTAACAACCAGAGTATAATCGTCTAATATAATAATAAGCAGAGAATATAAAATAGACTGAATTATCACACAGGCTAACTTGAATAAAAAGCTTATGAACCATAAGTAAATCGATACATGAATTTGATAGCAATCGCGCTGCCTACAAATTGGTGGTATCTTATGTCAGTCTTAAAACAATAACAGCTACTGATAACTGTTTTAAAACTATTAATATAACTGGACAACAGGTATCAGGATTGTGTATAGGAAAGTGAGTAAATTCTTTCACTAATCGTGTAGCAGGTGTAAATAGTTAATTAAAACCATTGCAATAATGTTTTTTTTCTTTTTATACAATCTCCTATCATTCTAAATAGCTTTGAAGGCAACAAAGTTTAATAGTTATCTGAAGTTGACAATAATAAGTTTGTGGATATACTCAAGCACCAGTAAAAAATATCAACCATGAATCCAAACAGGGTAGTAAGTTAGTCGAATATTAATTTAAAAAGCTAAACGCTCAGCGGTTATAATCATACCAGGCAATTTGAACGCCCGGATATGCAGACTAAATACAGCTGAAAGATATTTATGTGGGTTTTCTGCGTCTCAGCTAATAAAAGTAACCGTCTATTGCAATCTTTTATTACTAGTAAGCACCAATCGTAAGCACACAGAGACATCGTCTAATGTGGCCACCTTCAACATATGATCAAAGATAGATACAAATAAGCAACATTGCCACCAGCCATTTTGAAAGAAGCTCAGCAGAAGATTCCCGCTCGTTTCGGAGCACATCTGTAAACTTTGGTCGTGGTGTAGTACGAACACGCGTTAGTCTTATTCATAGTGAACGGAAAGAATCTCATAACAAGAAGACTCGTCAAAGTTCAACATCAGGATAGAAAGGCTAGCAGCATATTCCAGAGACAATTAAAAGCACTTATTCAATCACTAAATAGGTGTTCATCCTGAAGCAGCTCTGTACAATATCCTAACGGCTTTGAAGACGGCAATAATATCTATCAGTCAATAAAATCAAAATGTGGAAAAAGATCAGTGATCTTTAGAGGTATCTAGTGAAATGATAGATAGTCAACAACTGTCAGGCTTTAAACACCAAGAGAAGTTATATACGAACCGAAGAAAACTAAACGAGTAAATAAAAACTAACGGAAAAGGGAACAGCGACAGGTAGTAATAATCATGTTAATGATAATAACAATGATAATAATATTTCCTGACTTGGAAGCACCATCCAACTCCTCCTCGACTGAGGCGCCTGGTACATACGTTTTGTACGTCCAACAATTGTCTACTCTGACATAAAATGCTGGTTGGTGTGGGCGTAAATTGGAAGTGAGCTAGAAGGTCTTTAACCAGTCTTAGATCATGAGTTCTAAAATTGTTTTATACCCATTCCTTTTTTAAATCATATTCGCTACCTAATTTTTTATTATCACTGACACTACTACACATAATACTATGATACTTGTCATGATAATTTCATCTCATCATACTGATATGATATGGTAACATGAGCCGATACACATTTGTAACGGACTCTTATCTCACTTATCACTGACTTACCAGCCAAGTTCAGAACGGAATGATTCTCATAAAAAGCTATCTTACAAAGAACGGAGAACCTGATATTATAAGTTTTAATATATCAATATTTTATTGCAATTCTTGAAGGAAATTCACTTGGAATTTAAGACGTTACGAGTATAAATAGTTTAAATTATTATAACTATATGGTACAAGAAAATACTTAAAGTAGTGTGACATCATGTAACAAATCTATAAGTTCGTTCAACAGCTGGTCTCAATAACTGGAGTGTTCTAAGAATCCTATTATCTTGAGGCTGGAACGTTGTATACTCGAAAAAGGGACCCTGGTTGGAAAAGAGCTTGTTCGCAGATACTGTTTCCATATTGTAACCATACGTTAGCAGATTTAAAGACCTTTAAAATACAGATGGGACTTATACTGCAAGATAAAACTCCTTAAATATTATTCATGTCTAGGTGACACAGTGTAAATAGGAGTAATAAATCAAATCAAAATAAATTCTCATACGAATAAACATCTTACATTTTGACCAAAAAAGTAGTATATAAGCCACCATGATCACAAAATTTAAAGAGTGATTGCTAATATTATTTAACAGAAAGATACGTGAGAGACAATATAAATAAATCTGGTAAATACATAAAGATTATAGTATGTCAGTTCGATAACATTCAAACATAATTACTTTGCATAGTTTGCTTAGTGATATGTTTTAAAGAAGATATTGGCACATCAATAGTAGTTTCGCATAAGAGAATAAATGTACATGATAATGTACCAAAAATATTTGGAAATCCAAGGTACGAAGTCCTAAACTCACCAAATATCTGATAATTTTCGAATATCATGTCAATACGCTATGGGTTGTGCGATTTTTAACTAGTTTATCTTATCTAATACTTACACATATTACAAAACATTTTACTAGATCGAATAAAACGGTCACTATTGAGGAATTATTTAACTTTTTTACTACCACCCAGTTTGCAGATTATGACAATCCAACAGATCAGAAAATCTAGTCTTGTTAGTAGTTGTCGATTACCATCATCTTGTCATATTTTAGCATCGACATTTTACCATTTAATCAGTCATCCCTACAAAATATGATTTTCATAAGCTTCACAAAAGTACAAAAACTAAAACTGAAGACTTACTGAGGGGTATAGCAGTAATCAAGATTATGGTAACCATGAGTATGCTAAACAATTTAAAATATAGAAACAAAATACACAAGGAACTTATAAATGCTCAAACAAGTTGACTACTCAAGCGTCAAATTTTTAAAAAAATAATAAAACACTCTACTTTGATTATCTTATGAAACAAAACCCAGGAATTGGTCGAAATGATGATATAATAGGTAATGTAACTTAGCAAACTATTCAGTTAATACGTCAAGCCGTAGTAACTATATGATATTACTATCTATAGGATTAATTAATATAACCAATGTCTAAAGATTGGTCAAAGTTTATACAATTAAATGGAAGATCAATGTAACAAACCGCCATTTATATTGTTTTAAATGTTACTGCAAAAATGTTATTAAGAGCTAATTTTAGAACACTGTCATAGTATCCCAAAACCATTTTAAAAACTAACCAAGATAACTAGGACATTGTCATAAATTAACCAGTCACTATTAACGTGACAGTAGATGGTAACAAAATTATCTTTCTCATTAGCGATATTTCACCAGGCATGTAATATTTTTCAGATTTTAGAACGAGAATTATTTGTCTCAGGATAACTAAACAGCTTTTTTACTGTGAAGAAACTTAAAACCATTTCTAATTAAGCCGTTCTTTCACTTAATGGTAGAACAAAATACAGTTAATCGATTTATAAAGTCGCAACTTACGATTATATTCTAAACATACAAACAGATTGTAATGTTATCTTTTGTTGAGAGCCATCTTTCGCCGAAAACATGAGATTTACTCTTCGTTAGAAAAATCCATGAATACAACATGGTAGTAAAATAACCAAAAACTAACAGATAATTTGAATTTGTCGGACCATTCAAAAGTAACGAACAGTACTAATCATCATGGACCCAATAAAACATCCCTAATACCATCAGTGAGGCTGTACTACTACATTGAGAACGCAATAACAATCCCTTTCTACCGCTAGGAGTCGAGTCGGTAATTATTATGATCCTATTTATTCATATACTACTCCTTATTTTTCGGTTGATCTCAACTTTATCCTTTCACGCTGAATATCCAATAATTCATAGGATTTTAAATATGGTTTTTACAATAAAATTAATTTTGCAGTCGATATGTTTGATATTCCGGACTAGACACGCAGATGCGATAATAAGCCAAGTGAAAAGTCTGGAATTCTTCGATTATTTAGAAGGCAAAGTAATGGCACAATGAAAAAGTTTGGAACAACTTAATGCGAATTCTGATGAGCTAACAAATAAAAAAGGTAAGAGCTAGTACAGTAAGGGCACAGATAAACTGGTTTTCAAAGCCAAAACAAATAGAATGTTAAACTAGTGTTAATGTACTCAAAGCTAACCAATTAACCTAACATCTTTAAATGTGCTATGGTGCTGGGAATTAGTTGACTGCATATTGATATTTTTAAGCAAAAAGTAAATGAAAAATTTGTCTCACTGTAAAAGGTGCTAAACGAATTAGGTTGTCATTTTGGTAATAATATTCTGGAATCAAGCCAGAAGATTTATCAAAAATGGTAAGACATCGACAATCAAAATAAGATTACGTTAATTTCAAAGATAGATTGTACTGAGAAACGTTTTAAAAGGATGGGGAACACTAAGTACTGTGTTTAAAACATTCCTTCAGGTACGCATACAGTAATTTAAGACATAGTAAACACCATACATTTTATTTGGTTGTGATAGTGATTCCCGGTCAGTTAGTCAGTCAGCAACAACGTAGATTCCCGATAAAAGTGAGAACATACGACTTCGTATACAAAGGGATGTGATATACATCTAGTGGGTGAGTTATTGATACTATACTTTTTATTAGACTGATGGTGGTTTCAATTTCGTGTGATTTCGAATAAATTGTGAAGTAAAGTCTTACCGTTCTTCACGAAACTAAATGTGGCGGAAACAATTGACGTAATGGAACAATACATTTCGGTAGAATGTAATATGGAGTCGCCACAAAGCATTGAGACCTATAGGTCAAAAAACAGTAGTTACACACGTGTGCGCTAGTCCTTCGTCTTCTTACCTTCCTTTATGCTGCTTAATAAACCCCTCATTGATATATTCCTATTTCTAAAATGTAACAGTATACAAATAGCTTGGTATCGACACAACTCAAACAGATTTCCTAAATTCAACGTTTTCTTCAAAACAATAGAACTTACCTCATAGATGGATCAATATACAACTTCCATAATGCTTCACCTTTGGAAACCTCACCGGGGACTAACAATAATACAAGTGCGCTGACTACTACGATAACGGAACCCATGAAATCAGCCAACACATGAAGAAATACGGCTTGCATGTTCATCGAGCTTTTATGTGCTAAATTTTTGAGTAGATAATGTGAAAAAACACCAGGATTTAACTAAGCGCTTTGTTAAAAAACAAGGTATTCTTAAAAAGACCGAGTTAAATCACCTAAACAACTGACTACCGTGACAAGTTCTCATTTAGAAACAAATAAACTAAGGTCGTGTTACAGTGAGTGTATCATACGTTCCTTAGGTGGATGAGTTACTTCATCAATATGGACTTATTTCAACACTTCATGTATAAGTTAGTTAAAACTAATCGAGACAATAAAACCGGATGCATATAGGACTACTAGAGATTTGACAGCTCTGTCGCCGACGTGGACTGGGTCACCTAGTCATTTCTACTCATAAAGTTATTTCTATTGAGATCAATTGGAAGAAATATTTAGGTAATTAGAGTACATTTAATGCGCTCCAAACTTTCAAATACAAACTTAATCAAGAAGTATTAGAGTCTAATCTACATATTGCAATAAAAAGATGAAAATGAAAGTTAATCTAAAGACTTAAAGATGTGATGATCATAGTGTACACAATCAAGGATTAACTTACACTTTTTCGAGTGATTATGTTTGATTTTAATAGCAACCTTTTGTTGGTTGGTATCAAGTTGTGATGCCCCAAAATTATCCTGTTGGTCCTTATCGGTAAAACGTTGTAGGGCATTACCATCCATTATATCATACACATTGTTCACTCCTGAAATGGGCTGTGTCGAATTAACTTGTAAAAAGGCTTCATCAGTATTATTTAATGGCAAAGTAGTACCGAAGGCTGTTGGTGTTAGTGATGCCTTAAAAGCATTTGAAATAAACGACAAAACTTCAAAATTAAATACTTAGCAATAGCTCAAAAACGAAATATGTCAAAATTTATAGGTCTAATCCACGCTTGATAATGGTAATATTTATCACAAGAATCTTCCGCATATGAAATTGGCTCTCGTAAAATCATTAGTACCAAGCGGTTTTTATGTTTGTTAAACAGTGAAACTTAAAACCCTGCTTTTGGACACTTAGTAAATCAGGAGTGATTTAAAACGCCGAATGTTACCAGTGTGAAATATATATGTTTGTTAATCCAGATCATCCATGACGAGCTATATTTTATAAGGAATGAAATGTTACTCGACTGTCAAGTAAAAACCAACTACTGACTTGTTAATTCAGGACGCAAATGTAGATTGAGAACATATAAGAATCGTGACCTGCTGGCTAAAATGTTTAGTACCACAAAATCGAGTCACACGCTTACTTAAATAAAATGTACCTCATAGCAAGGAGTAACAACGAAGGCGTGAATACTGACATAGATCCGTAGATGAAAAAGCGTAGAACAAATTCAGTGGTGAATCCTTCTAAAAATGTTAGTGGACCAAAAATCACCTAGGGTCACCATTAGACCATAAAAACCTACGGGTCGAACTATGATTCGACACTTAACATGCAATTGATACTATATATCTACTATTTGATTTCATTGATTGGCCCATAATCTAAATGCTTCCTCTATATAAATTCATCCTAAAAGTAACATATAATCTCATGATATGACAACAATGATAATGACATACATTGTCATCTACTTGTGATAGATAAACAAGTCGATTTTTGAAACCTTTACTGCACGACATTAATTTCCTGATTTCCAGCCTGAAAAATAGACTCAAACCCGTCATCTAAATATACTTAACCACCTATAAGACAAACATATGATGCACAAAATACCCAGATGTAACTTACGTCCACCGCCGAATCGATTCCGCCATGCGAACCCTCATGTGAATGACCGCCAAGAACAATAAGTCCCAGGATGTTAACCAGGAGACCTCCACAACCAACATATACCATCATTTGAGGACTTTCAATTGCCTGAGTCTCAATAAATCGTTCAATGGCCCTCAAAAGAATAGTCATGCATAATGTAATTAAAACGACCGTGTTGATCAAACTGCCCATCACTTCAGCTCGCTGCCATCCAAAAGTATTTCTAGACGACCGAGGCCATTTGGCTATCTGAGATGCTACGATTCCAATTACCAAAGCAAGACAATCAGATAACATGTGAAACGAATCTGCGACCAGAGAGATAGAATGTATAGAAATTCCAACGACCAACTCGACCAGGAAATAAATTATAACAAGCACTAGCATAAAGATGAGCCGAGTTGTATTTCCACATGACACACCCATGACGTTTCTGGAGTTAAATTTCGAAAATCAAAATACAATAACGAACAGAACTCAAGCTATGTAGAACACATGCAACAACCAGGTTCTTGACAAACTAATGTACGGACCAAAGCATGCGCCTTTACAGAGTTGATACTCTTAATCAAACAAATAAAACAAAACGTTTATGGTGAACAAGTCTACAGAATATACCAACATATCCGGAAATAGTTATAGTTTAATTTTAAAAAATAAAACCCGGAAAAGTGATATTCATGTGAAGTGACCAGACTTAAACTTAAACATTTTTTAATTTCAGGTGAGGAGACGGAAAGTAAATGTCTTTAGAGTTTCGCATCAGTAGATAGGTTGGCTAGTAGCAAACCTCAACTATCACTGTTTATCAGAAACCACAAGTTCGGATAGGGAAAGGGACTTTAGCCTCGTTTATGGTAATCCTATCCCCCAAAAGTTAAGCTCATTGAAGAACGGAAATTGTGTATTTTAATTTTTTCCTTTACATTTCATACGAGTGCTTCAGAAAGAGCATATAAGTTTTTTTTATTAATTTAGCCATATTTACATCCTTCAGTATTACGATATCCGACTGTGTATAAGTAGAACCTGTAGTGGTATCGGTTCTCAATCACACGAGACCTGATGGTAAATATACGGCTACTGGGAAGGTTTACATTCAACACCTAACTCCAGAGCGAGGGTCGAGAATGATGGAAGGGGGTTACTTAACCTGTATAGCAGGGCTAGATCATGTAGGTGAGATCACTCTGTGTAACCTACTCCTTTTCATATTAACTATATTACTCTAACCTCAACTTCACTGTGTTCTTCAGATGTGCTAAACATCATGCTGCTGACTGTCGTGATAGAATGAGTCGATATACACAATAATGTGACATTCACATAAGATTTCATTGATTGAACAGTCAAATCATGGAAAATCTACAATTTTGGGACTAGGTCTATCATTCTAGTAGCGACGATAAATGCAATTAGCCCCTTTCATAAATTTGGATAGTGCAATGAGAAGACAAAGATTATCACAACTATGTGGTATATTAGGACATACATTTCGAACAATCTGATCACAAATATTTGTAAAAAAACATTCATTATAAATTGGTGATGAGTTTAATATGTCAGACTTTATATATTTCTGTTAACATAGGTAACACTTGAGTGTGCAACTCAGTTTATTTGATCAATCCATCTTAGTAATTATTATTTATATACGATTTCAACAGTCAAATAAGATTCGAAATATTCGCTTACAATTTACTTGAACGTAAATTATCATATAACTGATTTGGGATAATGTGACTCAACAAACAATACTCATAAAATCAAACGTTCCTTTACAATCAATTTTATCAGTGTGTCGATCACCTACATACAACCTGGCTAAATGGCTGCCCAAATTGCTTAATCCCGTCCGAAGACGTTTATGTAAGTAATCTCTAAAGGATTATTTTCAAAAGCGGTCTATCATTTAGGTGATATTAATATCAAGGGAAAGATAATGTGTTCATGTTCGCAAATGTACCTTTAAATCGACTGTTGATATATTATGAGACCACACATCTTTGAACAACCCTAAATTACATGTTCTTTTAAAAAAATTTTAGGGATTTAGTACTACTATGTACTGACAAAGTCCAGTTCACATCTAAAAGTGAATACCTTCGCCAGATCGATGGGGTTACTATCGGTAGTTAGTCAGGACCACTGTTGCAGATGTGTTCATGGCACATGTCGGAAATCTAGCTGAAAATTTAATTGAAAACATATCTCGTTTTAAGAGTTATGTGAATGATATCTCAATTGCCTGTGAAAAACATTATGATATTAATTGTTAATTAAACGAACTTAATACTTTAGAACCACATCAGTCTTTCGTATAAAGGGGAGGAAGACGACCAGCTTCCTTCCTTAAGCATACTTATATGTAGAACAGAAGATGGTTCAATCTGACGATCCATCTTTAGAAAACTAACGTGTACAAGCCAGTAGTTATAATAAAAATTGTCCCGTTCAACAAAAGCGAAATTCGATAAGGGGCCTTTTTAACAGATTTGATCATATTTGCACAAGTAACGCTAATAATGACGAAGTTAGGTTGTTGAACAAAACATTAATGGATATAAGTTACACGAGAACGACCACGCCTGCAAGGCTGAGCCATGCCATCAGATGAATTGAATTAATATTCCTGCCTTTTATAGTTAACCACCTTTTCGTGTCAATTGTTGAATATGAGTCTTTTCAGCAATTATATGCTCCACTTCAAAGGTCGTGTGGTTAGGGTTCAATGACACTAAAATTACTCTACCCAACGATAAGTGCACTTAATGCCTACCTGGTTTATAATTCTGCAAACTTACATGTAGATCAGTGTTTGTGGGCATGAATTTTGGTAAATTATTTGGTCTTGCAGAGGTAAATAAATCCCCAAAATAAATAGCTCTGTAAGTTTTCGACATTGGATGCTGACCATATGTTTTAGTGGACTCATCTAGCTGAAGGTGCTCGGTCATGCATCCGCACCAGATCACGTGTGGTAACGCCGTGCTCAACATGTACCGCAATCGCTAGCCAGATTAGATCAGAGAATTCCGATATACTGGTTATCGCCAAATACACTCTTCCGATCTCCTCGACTCTGTCTTTTGATTTCTCTCGATGAGTACAAATTATATTAGAAGGTGTTGCTGGTAAAAGCGTTGTCAAACACTGAATACTTGTGTCGTCTTCAGGCTATTCTACTGTACGTTAATCTACCTGGCTGATGTATTTTGGGAGAGGTATGTGCTTTAGACTCGGTTTGGATACTAGTAAGATGACCGAAACACGTTTGGTTTTCATTTCACTAGCTTGCGTGTCGCAAACACTAATCGTAAATAACGTTAAATCACTTATTTAATACCGTGTCCAATGACGTAAGAAAATGCACTGTGAGCATTTATTGTCTGTACTGTTATTTGAAAGCGTTGTGATGAACATCGAGACGGGCAGATAATACAAGCAGAAATTACATACTTTAATGATGTATTCCATAAAACATGGGTTGATTAAAATATACAGATTTAAAGTGAATTCCAACCGGTTTCATCGAGAAGTCAAATTAAATTATTTGGCTGAGTTGACGTCTATAAGTGCAATCAACAGATAGCATGAGTAATCATTTTCCTGCATGTTTTCATGTATATGTTTGGGAATATTACTACGTTTACAGCAGGTATTAAATTGCATTCGATGCTTTATTTCAAACTTCAAATCACCCAATATGTTATGATCATGACAGGTTAGTTTGCTATTAATATCAACTATATATGTATAGACTATATCTCAACAAAATCGTGTGTAGGGTGGAAAAGTATTACACGTTTCTAGCCAAATGGTACAGTGATTAGACCAATAAATACCAATTCAATGCTCGCCAAAATCAGCCACAACTAACACGCGTTAGCCATTTGCACACCATGAACAGGTGCACGTGGCTACCTATTTTTACTAATACATTTCTATCATAACGCTGTTTGTGCTATGAGGTCACCTTAGCAACTACAGTACCTGAATACAAAAGAAAAAATCTGCGTTGAGTATTCATCAAAGGTCGTAACGTCGACGTAGACTGGGAGGTCACGCGACTGACGTCCATATCAGATGGGCCCTCGGCCATCGACATAGATTGCTAGCAGTGATCATCTACACCTGTAAGGCGAACGACATTTTTCAAATCACATGATATTTGTGCTTCTATACACTGTGTTTCTATAGATATCATTTAAAACTGATCCTCCTGTTTCCACGCCTGACTGTTAGGCTAATTTATTGTGCTAGTCATTTGTATCTGATCCCTGGATTATCAAGAACTTGCACAATCCTCAATAATGCTATTATCTAAAGACGTGGAAAACAAAATGCAAAACCGGTCAGTAACAAAAATGATTTTGTTCTATATATATATATATATATATATATATATATATATAATTTACGGTTAACAATGTTTCTGCAGGTTGCTACTACTCTCCTATCAAAAAATATAAATCACCATACATATACTTCGACTAAATGATACTAGCTATTCACCATCATTGTTATTTGTGATAAACTCTTTTAAAGATCAAGATTTTGGGGGATTTCTGCCTTTTCCGACGCACTGAAGAAAAATTATAAGCCATGCTAAAAAGCGTTCACATTTTTGTAACTATTTTACAAGAACCAAACAGAATATAGTCCGGCAGAACATAGCGCACAATCTAAGAGAATTACTATTCATTTTTGTCGTAGCCTCAGTCATTATATTATTACTTGATATGTGCAAAATCAAATTACATTGCGAGTTTAAAAGTTATAAAACATACATATAACATAAAGATCAGATGGGTAAAACACGATTCTCACCTCCATACATCCGCAGATTAGGCGTAAATGTCTCTTAGTTACAGGAAAAAAGTTTTTTTTTCATAATTCCTTAGCTAACCTTAAAACCTGAGAAAAAACTGTCCAAACCAGGAAAATATTTTATGGCTTAAAAAATTTAGGCATGTGATAAATTTTATTCACTACTTATAAGATTCGGTTCCTAATTATACATGATAAATTGTTTCATGAGTTACTATCCTTCCTATAGTGGCCCTTCCTCAATAATTTCCAAGCTCTTGATGGTATAAACAGCCGTTCTACTGACGAATGAACACACTCTGCAAGTGCACCCAGCTAAATCTCACCTTATTTCTTTTGTATTAGGTCCGTATAACATACCGTATACTAGGATAATCAAATCCAAGACGTTGTTTATCTGTGTAGGCAAACTAACAAAAGGTTCAGTGAGATGGCTTAAAATGGAGTTATTTACAAGCGATTTCCAGATAGTTTTCAGTTTATATGCTCATATACCTGTGCTCTGTGAGAGCTTCTATGTGAGAGATACTGAAAAACCTGAGAAATAAATAAAACGTGCCAAGGACTTTAATGCAAGAGATTGATGATCTATTATATGTACTTCGAATACGTTCTCCAAGCTTTGATCACCAACTTCATCATTATTATCGTTCTTTTGACCAAATAACTGCATATTAATCTAAGTGGAGGCGTTCTGTAACTTAGTTTGATGTCAATTTGGACTATTCAAA